CCCCCCGCTACTCCCCCAAGGGCCCGAGCCCTAGGAAATTGTGCCCCCCTCCCCCTCCCCCCCCCCCGCAAGGTGGCCACGGCCCCAAGCTCGAGTCCTGGGCAGCTGCCGTCGACCAGGAGGGGCTCCGTGTGCTCATGGACGAGGGCGTCTTTGCGATCAGGACCTGCAAACTCTGCAAGTGTGTGTGCTGTGGCGGGGGCGCCCTGCGCGTGGGGATTTCCAGTGAGTGAATGTCAAGGCCGACCGCTGACTCAGCGCAGGCGTCGGCGGGCATGCCTGCGCCTCAACCCCCCACTCCCAAACCCTCCCCAGGGACGGCATCGTGGTGAAAGGCGAGTACGGCCTGTCGGCCGCCATGACCAAGCATGGGTACACCTTCGACACGCTCATGTCCAAGTACCGCAAGGCAAGGGCCACCCTTGGATTGTTGTGCGAATGGAAGGAGGGGTTCCTGCCAGCCCGGGATGGGCATGGCTGCGTGCAGATGGGTCTCCCTGCTGGCAGACCACCCCTTGGAACCAGCCCCTGCTCTGCATGCTTTGGCACTTGGGATCAGTCTGGCCCGTTTTGGACCTGCACCGCGGCGGCTTTGCGTGGGCGCGGCTGGCCAGCCAGCCCCGCCTGGGCCTGCGCTCCACCACCATCACCACACACGCCCACACCCACCCACACCCCAGGTGGACTGGCGTGACCGCGCCAACTGGAACTGCAACAACAACGTGCACCCCAGCCGGCACGGCACGTACGACGGCCTGTCCATGCACCCCTTTGAGACCGTGTTTGTCAAGGCGTCCTGGCACGTGGGCGGCCCCTTCGTGGACAAGTACGCCGAGTGGATGACGGCGCAGGTGGGCAGGGGCTCTGAGGGGTGCGGCGGGGGGAGACGAGCAGGGTCGTGCGCATCGCAGCGTCTGCCCTCCGCCGGACGCCTGGCTCACGTCGCTTCCTGATCGACTCCCTGGTCTGTCACATGCCCGTCTGCAGGCGCTGGGCAATCCGACCACCCGGGGCGCCTTTGACGAGCCCATGTACCGCTACGCCGTCAGCATGGAGGCGCAGAAGGACCCGCACGTGGAGCAGGTGGGGCGGAACAGGACTGGGAGGCTTTTGGGGGGGTCAGGGTGAGGGGCGGCATGCAGGGGTTTGGCAGGAGACCGCAGGCACCCAGACGGGCCAGGACGTCCAGCACTCTTTCTGCTACCGCTCTGCAGTGCTACAAGGTCCTGGATCGGGACAAGGGCCAGTGATGAGATGCCCCGAGTCGCCAGCCCGCCGCCGCGAGCCCTTGCACCACCCAGCTCTCGTGCTGGCTGCCTCATTCGAACTCCCCCACCCACTGGCCATGTGCCGGCATGCACCGCAACCGAATGTCAACACCCCCAACCCCATCGGGCCCCTGCCGGCATGTGGATTACATGAGAGTGTCAGGGGGCGCCAGCGACACATGACTTCCCTGGACATGGTTTCGAGGGCATGGCAGGCGCACCGGGAAGGATTTCACGCTGCCGGGCACGGGGCAGGGCGCAAATCCACCCCCCGCCTCACGCCCGGTCGTCCTCCAGGGGGAGGATGCGCGGCGGGGGTGGGCGCAGGAGCTCCTCCTGCGTCAGCGCCCGAGGCTTCGTGGCGGCGTAGACCTGTCCAAACAGGGCTGCCTGCGTTCAGGCATCAGGGGGAAGAAAGGAGGGAAGGAAAAGTGAGGGGGCCTCTGCGGCCTGCGAGCCGAAACGCGTGCTTGTTTGAGCCCGTGATGAGTGGGGCGGTGCGCCCTGCACCAGTGGCAGTGCACGAGTGCAGGCATACCTCTTGCGTGCACCCCCTTGCACCCCCCAACCTCCCCATCTTGCCGACCTTGTGGGAGAGGCAGCCCGCCAGCGCGCACGCTTGGTGGAGGCCGTCAAGGTCGGAGAGGCCCGGCAGCGTGCCCAGCGCCGCGGCCAGGACCACAAAGGCGAGGAGGCGGGGCTGCAGCGCGACGCGCAGCGCAGCCAGCGTGCGCAGTGGGCCCGAGCGCGCAGGGAGCTGCACGGCCCGCGCGGCGCGCGAGCCCGGGGCGATGGCGTCCACGTCGGCCAGGAGGGCGCGGAGGTAGGCGCAGGACGCCGCCGTGCCCGCCAGCGCCAGGGCGCCGCCCTGAGGGTCCAGGGCCAGTGTCAGGTACCCGGCCAGGGCCAGCCCCGACACGAGCGTCTGCCGTTGTAAGGCGGCCTTCAGTGCCACATACTCTTCCAAATTCACCGCGGGGACGGAGGCAGAGGGGGTTGGGGGGGGAGACGCGGTGCCGGCATTCGAAGGGGCCTGTGCGCGAGTCCTGTGCTGCGGTCGGCCGGATGCGACTGCTTTGCTCCGCGTGCATGGCCTCCTGCGCGAGGTAATCATATGGTAGAAACACAAACTGATCGATGCCGCGAAAGAACCGCTCGATTACCCAGTCCACGCGGCGCAGCTGACCCCCACGACTGGCGCACCGCTCGAGGACCCTGAAACAAGCGGGCATGAAGCACATGCATCCATGCACCTGGATAAAGGAGACCAGACCTGACGACATGATGCCAGGGGATGCGCCGCGGCATGCATGCTCAGCATGGTCCAGTGCAATAAAAGGCCACCAGTTTCACCGACACGCCACAACGATGAGCGTGCAGCAAGCCATGCTTGGGGTGAGGACTGCAGCCAAATACTTTGAACTGATATAGAGATCAAAAACTAACTGTTCGACAACGTTCATTGCGGTATGTGACCTGCAGCTCCGCTCAGGTCGGGTCCCCAGGCCAGGCGGAAAACGGATCGTGAAGGGGTACTGCTGTTGCCCTCGACGGTATCGGCAACATCCTTGACGTCCTTAACCATGGCAGCAGATGACGGTGCACCGCCCCGACCCAGTTGTCTAAAGTCTGGCAAATTGATCTTTCCCCACTCAAATGTATCAAGCGGAGGTTACTGTGACATCGAAAAGTGGGTCGGTCGTAATGTCTGGGTGCCGGGATGTTGACATGTCACCGAGGAATACCCCGATTTACAATGCAGTCTCCCACCCTACTCTGCCAGATTGGAATCAGTACAAGGATACACCATTTTCATCTGCTCATCGGTCCCCATCGATGAACATATATGCGAGTTCACCAGATGGGAAGTCACCTTCCGGAACCAACCCTGCCAACCCGGTGAGACCCTATCGAAGCGCGTTATACCGAGCTCGTAATTAAACTTACAACCCAATTTCATTCCCATGGCCACCGGAGTTCATCCCTCTGAAGCGCAGGCTCTCAAGGTTCGAGTCCCTCCGCCGGGTACAGCCGGCGGCTGCGGCTCGCCGAGGATTACGACCGTGGTCATGTCGCCCCGTCCCGGAGATGTGTCGGTGACAGTCATCGATGTGAGTTGACAGAATAGGTGCCCCAAGGTGTTCTGTACCTGGCCATGCTGAGGCCTAAAGGTTTTGCGTAGGACCATCGCTCTGAACACCGATTGATGCTGGGAGTAGTCCATGTCTGAAGTTTGGTATTTGAACCCCCCCCCCGCCCATCCTCCGTGATGCCTGGATGCAGCCAGGCTGGGAAGCAGCCATGGAGCAAGAGCAGCGAAACACTGCCCAGGCGCGCGAGGTCCTGGAGGAGGAGGCTTGTCATCAGCGAAAGCAGGCCGGGGAGTGGGAGGCGGCAGCCAAGGCTCAGGCAGCCCTGGTCTCTGGCCTCAAAGCTGATGTTGAGGACCAACGCAGGTATGCATGTTGGGAGGTGGACGGGCTCATGATGAGATTGGAGTAGGTGCTCTCAGTGTAAAGTGATTCGGTGCAAGGAGGGCTGAGGCGTGAAGACAAGACGCCGTACGCCTCTGCACTTCTCGGTTAATGTGAAGTCAGTACTGCAACCAATGACTATGCACTGAGAGGCTGCTGAGTTTACAGCATCCACCTTGTCTGCTCTGCCTCGATCACAACGTACAAATTCGGCCTCCTCTGTGAATTATTCTGTCAGCATGCGTTTCAGAACGACAGTGCACCCCTCCAGCCCCACACTGTTGATTCCTCTGCCCCATACCCACCCAGGTCCCTGTCTCGCAAACCCGCCCCGTACCCATCTCCTCATTGCCAGGACCCAGCAGCGACTGCAGCACGACTTGGAGGCTCTGGAGGCTGAAAGGCGTGTGGAGAGGCGTGACCGCACAGCCCTGGCCGTCAGGCTGCGGGCAGCGGAGGCCGCGGCTGGGGCAGCCGGAGACCGGCTCACTGCCCTGCAGGGCCTGCTGAGTCAGCGCGAGGTGGACCTGGCGCGCTGCAACGCTGCCCTGGCGGAGTCGCAGGCTGCGAGGAGTGCACTGGAGGCGGAGGAGCGGCGGCTGGCGGGGGCCATCGCCAGCCTGGGTGCCCGAGTGGACAGGGAGTGCGACGGTTTGAGGGCCGAGGTGGCAGCTCTGAAGCGGGCCGCAGAGCAGCGGGAGAGCCTGGTGACTGAGCTCACGGTGAGTCATGAGGGTGGGATGTGGCCAGGAGATTCAGAGGGCCGGACGTGGCAGAGCATGGCTCCCACACCTCCAGATGGAGCATGCCAGCTCCAGTACTGGCACACCCACCAGGCAAACAACCTCCTGCTATGCACAGGCTCAGGGGAAGGCAACCCGTGCAGGCGCGCGTCAGCGGGAGGAAGAGCTGGGACGTCGTCTGGCTGCCCTGGAGGCAGAGCTGGGGCAGCAGCGCGAGGCATGCGAAGCTGCCACGGGAACCCTGTCTCGTCTGCGCAGCATACTGTTGCAGGGCGATCGTTCGGCCGCCTGGAAGAGGGGGGCATGAACGCCAAATCTGCCTGTGATTACAACTGCATCACGGGAAGGGAGTCGGCCCGGTGTGGGAGGCGACCGCAGAGACCGTACACTGAAGCCATGCGAGCGGGCCCTCACTATGGGATGAATCATGCAGGCGTCCTTTCTAGCTTGTGAACTCGCAGTGCTCCCTAGCACAGACAGCCATTCAACTAGGCATGACACAGGAATCGTATGTTTGGACCCAATTGAGGGCCACCGTTTAATTCATACTGGTCGCTGCCAGGCCCGGTGTGCACATCGGAGGGTATCGACCCCCCTTCACTTTCAACCTCCAGGGTGGGGGTCGCACACAATCTCGGTCTGCAAGCTCTACGGCTCCCGAGAATTCGAGGGTGCCTCAACCTGATTATTGATCCAAATCATCCTGCACTACATACTGCCTGGGAGCTGAGCACCCCCGTCGGCGAAGCTTGGCGACAGCGACGGGCATTCTTTCAATATCTCGCTCTCAGTCGACGCTGCACCGCGGCAGTCAGCTCAGGGTGAATCCTGGTGAGTGGGGGTGTAAGATGGACTTGACGCAGTCGAGGATGCCGTTCAGGCCGCACAGGGCCTGGTGGAGTGGATGCGGTTGTTCATTCCCGGCGATGGGGGGGTGCCATGATCTCACGAGACCAAGGGGAATATGATGTCGAGGGCGTGATTGGTCTTTAGCCGAACGCAACCTGCAGACATCCTCGCAGACCAATCTGAGGTCTATCTAGGATCACGACTCATGGAGAAGATGGACCTCCCACTCACCGCCAGTGAAGAGGTGTGCCCGCGGCGGGGGGCCCCCCCCCCCCAGGGTTGGAACATGGACTGCTGGCAGCCCCCCTGCTTGCTCACGTTCTCTTGTGCTCCCCAAGCCACGCCTCTATTCAAGGCGCCACTCATGTGGAGCCTGCATTTCGATTCCTTCACGGTGCCCCCCTGTGCAGAGCACGCAGCCCCCCGTGGATAGAGCCTCCATGGCCATGCCGTTGCCAGAGTGCATAAACATCGTGTGCAACAACGTGAAGGGCGTGTTCTGGACCTCCAGCCAGCGCCTGGTGAGTGTTTTTGGCAATGTATTCCCCGCACTTGCAATGCACACACCGCTGCTGTACCTCATCGGCCGGAGTCTCCGCTTCTTACGCAAGATCTCATGCTCAGCCCCCATTCTCCCCCCCCCCAAAAAAAATCGATAACCATGCAGACATGCCAGTGTAGAGACTGCGCGGGCCTGGGGGAGAAATTGGGGGTGATGCCTCTGCAGCTGACCCCCACGGAGTTTGAGCGGCATGCAGGTGGGGGGGTGAACTCACGTGTGCCTCCATGCGTGGCTTGCTGGGGTCCTTGGAAGGCATGCACAGGGCGCTGCACTCAGGCCTGGGAATGCCTGCAGTCTCGCCGTCTAGTAGAGTGTGAATGTTGCCTCCCCGAGGTAGCCCGCCACCCCCGCTGCCTGGGCAGCACCTTTCCAAGCCCACAGCAGTGTGGCAGCCATGCTGGCACCCTTCTCCCCTGGGACATGCCCCTTCCACCACCTTCCCCACACGCCCACCGCTCCCCCTGGCCCAGGCATGGCTGCGAGCAAGAAGTGGAAGTACACGCTGCGCGTGCCCATGGAGGGCGGCGAGGCCGCGCTGCTGGGCGACTGGATGGAGGCCCGGGGCCTGGCCGTGAAGGCCCACCTGCGCCACCCGCGCTGCCACATGGCGCCCCCGCTCTCCTCCGAGCGCGGCTCGGGCCTGCTGGACGCCCCGTCCGCCGCCGCCTCGCGCTCCGGCGGCAGGGAGGCGGGGCCGGCCTCCACCCGGCTGACACGCGAGGCGGCCGTCAGGCGGCGCGCTGAGGCGCCGGAGACCCAGCCCGAGCCGGCGCAAACGGTTGCCCCCGCCCCGTTGCAACCCACCTCCGCCGGACCAGCGGCGGCCCTGGCCGATCCGGTGGTGCGGGCCGCCAGTGCGCCCTTGGCGCCGGGTTCCACGCTCGCCGGGGCGGGCGCCGGGTCGTCGTACTTCAGGCCGGTGCAGGGCGGGAGCCTGCCTGGCCCCAGGCCCCACCCTGGCTCGGCCTTCAACCCGGTGGGGTCCAGGCTGGGCGCTAACCCCCGCGACCCCCGCGTCCTCGCCCTGTACTGCCCCGGCACCGGCCTGGCGCCGGGCGAGGCTGGGGAAGGTGGGCCCGCGTCCCCAGCGTCCTCCTCGGGGTGGGGCCGGCCCGCGAGGGCCGACGCCAAGCCAGAGGTGGCCAAGCGGGCCCGCACTGAGGCCTCGCCCCTCGCTGTCGCGGTGGCGCTCGGCGCCTCCACTCCCTCGCTCGCTGGCGCGGGGGGCGCACAGCACGGGCCCCTGATCGCCCATGCCAGAGGTGGGACGGCAGCGCTCGCAAGCGGGGCGTGTTGTAGGGTGGGATCGAGGGGTCAGTGGTGGTTGCCCGTGGCTTGCTTGGCATTCCTGGGGTCAGAGGGAGCCTCTGCATGCTACAGCTCATCACGATTCCTGCGAGGACACCCCGCCCAATCCCACCACGCCTGCCCGCTCCCCAGGCGATCCGAGGAAGCGAGGGAGGGGGCGTGGGCGCGGGGGGCCGTCTGCCCGCAGCGTGCTCTCGCCGCAGCCGCGCGAGGCCACCCCCGGGCCTGCACACATTGGACCCCCGCCGCAGGGCAGCGGCGCCATCGCTACTGCGCAGCCTGCGGGGACCCGAGACCCGCCCCGCATCCTGAAGTGGGAGCTGAGCCCCCTGGGCCAGCTCTGGCTGGGCGTCAGGCTGGGCGACCGGGAGTACACGGGGCTGCTGGCCAGCGCCGCGCCGCCGCCGCGCGTCAAGCCGCCCACCAAACCGCGGAGCGGTGAGAGCCCGTGGGCCCCGGTGGCTTTGCAGTCGTCGGAGGATGAGAGGTGGTATGGCCCCCATGCAGTCAGTGCATGAGCATGGGGCGGTCGTGGGGGCAACTACCGGCCGCGACATGCTCCCCCGTTTCTCACAGGGGGGCTGTGTGGCCCATGCACAGCCCTGTCCTAGGCAAAGCCCGGCATGACCCATCGCAACACAGCCTTCCACCCTCCCCCTGCCACCCCTTTCAGTTCCCCAGTGGGCGCAGCCCCAGGTCCTGCCCGGGGCGCCGCCCAGCCCCCCCGCCGGGGTCAAGCCAGGCGGCGTCGCGCCCGTCAAGGTCAACGCCACCAGCCACGCGCCCGCCGGGGTCAAGCCCGCGGGGCCCCCGCTCGCCGCGTCCGCGCGCCGGCTGGACCCCGCAGGCGTGCCGCCCCTGGCCATGCCCCTGGGTCCGCGGGGGCCCGACCCCGCGGACATCGCGCGGTACTGGGAGAAGCACAACCAGGGCGCAGAGGCCGGCACGCTGTGCGCGCTGTGCCACCAGGCGGCGGGCCCGCCCCTGGAGAGCCGGCTGGTGGGGCCGGGCGGGCGGTCGCGGGCGGGGCTGGGGCCGCTGGTGCTGGTCCAGCCCACCCGCAAGACCTTTGCCTGGTGCCACGACCAGTGCATACGCTGGTCGCCCGAGGTGGCTGAGGGGTGAGTGGGTCGTGTGTGTAGGTTCGGGTTGGGTGGAAGGAGCAGTCGGGGGGGGGTGGCACGTAGGGGCCTGGTCTTGCTCAAGAACGGCGCTCACGGTGGGCGAAGTGTGACTCTACTGGCCGAAAGCTCGCGGCCAGGGCGTCGTCCGGAAGGCGGACGTTCAGATCTACTGCGCGCACGGCTGGCACAGGGCCGGGCCCCTCGGTGGCCGACTCGGTCCGGAGCTCTGCCCTCTCGACTCTCGACGCGGACGCCCCGCTCCCACGCTGCAGGGACCCCGCTGCCATCGTCGAGCTGGCGGGCAAGGCGGTCCTGCGGGGACGCGGCATCCGGTGCCGGCTGTGCGGCGAGAAGGGCGCCACGCTGGGGTGCATGACCACTTGCCCCGTCTCCCTGCACCTGCCCTGCGCGGCCAAGGGCGGGGGCCTCCTCCTGGTGAGCCGAGTGTCTGGCAGCGTGGAAGGGGGAGGGAGAATTTGAGTGTGCTGGCGAGCGTGTGCATGTGAAGGGAAGTGGCGAGAGTCCATGCGCATGGTCATGCACGTGGTGGTGCACAGGCCTTCCATTTTGTGCATGGCTGAGTTCTCGGTTTCGGTGTCTCCATGCATCGCGGCCCCTCCTGCACCATGCCCACCCACCCGTCCCCAGGTGGAGCCGTACCGCGTGGCGTGCGAGAAGCACGTCGGCGCGGTGGCCGACTTTGCAAGCTCCGACGAGGAGGAGGAGGCGGACGGGGAGGAGGGGGACCAGCGCGGGGGGGGCGCGCAGGACCGGGCGAGGGAGTCTGAGGGCACGGGGACGTACAGCGAAACCACCAGCCAGGACACCTTGGAGGACGGCAGCGGCATCAGGTGGGGTGAGAGCTCGATCTGAGCCGCATGCCGGTCAGGTCGATCGGGGCTGCCAGGGCAGGGCACACACCCTTTGAACTGGAAATGGGGTCCTCCTTGCTCATGCACTGGGGTACGAGACATCCAGGCACACCCCCATGCCCGTGCTGGCCATCGTTTCTCCCCTGGCCCAAGACCAGCTGCCCGTCCCGTCCCCAACACAGGCCTGAGACGGCTGCGCCCTACCAGGCCCCGCGTCAGGAGGCGGCAAGCGTGCGCCCTGTGACGGGGAAGAAACCCAGCCTGGGCTTCAAAACGCCGTACGCCAACCTATCAGCGCTGGACACCCTCTCTATTGTTGCGCTGAACCATTGAGTTGACCGATTGACACCTGACTGTGACGGGCACTTGCGAGCAGCGCAGGCGTCGGGGAAGCATTTCATGGCCAAAGGTTTGCAGTCGGGGAGAGGCAGAGCGGAATGCTCCCCCACGGAGCGAAGGTGCCCCCTCTGCGATCTGTACCGTTGGGAAGGTGGAACCAGGCCTGTCGCAACTCACGACAGCTTACCGGATGTTCCCTCTGTGATGTCCGTGATCACTGCAGGTGTTGCCAGGGAGGGAAGAGGAGGAAGGCTTGAGAAGGGGGTGGGAGGGGGGGTAGTTGATGGCAAATGGACACAAAGCTGTCAAGGCAAGCTCCTACATGCCCTGCGCACCCTGCTTGGTGGGCTGGCCGTTCTCCCAGACAGCGGACCGGTAGTAGATGGCCTCGCGTGCCTTGGCCTTGGTCTTGGCAGGCTCCTTGAGAGCCGCACGCAGCATATCGGCGCACAGACCGGCATACTTGTTGTAAGTCATGCCCGCCACCCTCCAGTCTACGCGGGAATGAGAACCCGTTACTTTATGGGCATCCGCTATCAATTCAAATCTCCAAAGGCGCCAGCTTGTCCATACCGGCCCCGGCTGTCCCCAACCCGAGAAGTGCCATGACTCACAAGACGAGGCGCTCGCGGAGGACGACATGGCGAGAGGAACTCAGGTACCCTGCCGACCAGCAGTACTCCTTGGGATCACGCTAGGTTCTCTGAGGCACTACTGGTGCTCGCCAACGCTCAGGTGTCGCGGGGGAGCGTACTCGTGGATGCTGGAAAGGGGTCTCGTCCTTTCCACCTTTTACAGAGGTTGACATCGTCCCACCGCAACGGCCCTCCCCTGGTCTTGAGAGCGTTCCATGACACCCAGGACGCGATAATTCTCGACTTCACTATATTTTAAAGTTTTGTATAGACTCGCACGCTACTATGGCGCGTCGCAGTGGTGGTGGCGGTATGCGCAGGGGTGAGCCGTGTGGAGGTTTGCTTGGAGGACTCCAGACAGTGGTAGGGGAGCCGCAATGACCTTGCATTGCTCAAATCAAATCCGAGAAGGACTCTAATAACATCTTCGTTCCATCCTGCAGCGCCTTCTCCACCTCCGAGGGCACCTCCGCCATCCTTTCGTGCCCCTGCTCGGCCCGTGAGCACCCAGGCGCAGCACTCGAGCCCCCGCCCTTCACCCCCCCCTCCTGCTCCACACAATGGTATGTTACGGTAAAAGCTGCTTCGATGTGGACTGTGCACGTGTGGACGGGTCCTCGGTGTCCCCTGTGTGGGTGCCCTGAGGCCTCGAAGATTCCATCCCGGATGACTGGGAGGCCCCTTTCACACACACACCCATCACCCCATGTCATTGCAGCGGCCCCCCCTCCGGCCCAGCCCCAGGCTGGTGGCGGCATGATGTCCGGCATTGGCGGCATGCTCGTTTCAGGTGACCGCTGGGATGTTTGGGGAAGTGGTGCCGAGCATCTGTCCGATTGCTAGTGCGTGACAGTCCTCTCAATGATGCCAATCTGTCATCACACCGAGAAACTGCCCCTAATGACCCCCCCCAATATTTTCTCCTGTCAGGCATGGCCATGGGGACAGGCTCTGCCCTCGGTCATCGCGCTGTGGATGCCGTTCTCGGCTCCCGGCACCCGGAGCCCGCTGCGGCGACAGAGGCCGCCCAGCAGCTCGTGGCAGAGAAGGCTCCCTGCTCCGAGCAAGCCAAGGCCTTTGCAGACTGCATGAGCTGGGCCAGCGGCGACATGGGGGCTTGCCAGCAGTATTTTGATGCCATGCAGCAGTGCCGCCTGAATGTTGCTTGAGCAGCATCCTCGATGCGCATGCGCTCAGCAAATCGCCCTCCTTTTGCTCCAGAGTGCAGCACATCAAATTATGCGTGTGTGCCCTATATTGAATCAAGTAGAAGAGAGAGTGCCGAATCGACCAGAGTGGGGGAGCACCAGCACCAGAAATCCTTACTTGCCCTTGCTGTGGCCTTCATGGTTACAATCGCAAATACACACCATATGATCTGGGCAGTGAGCCTGCGGAGAACGTCTTACAAAACTTATCCATTTAGAATTATCGTAGGAATATAAAGCACCCCACAACCGCGTAGCTCGCACTTACTCGTGTACTCTTGTTCCCGATGTTGGCACCAAAGCGGTCCAACCTCGGGGGCAATCCCAGCCAGTTGCTGCCCTCTGAGCTGGTCGATCGATGCATCGGCAGCAGAATCTGGATCCTGCTACGAGGAGACAAGGAGATTGTGGGCACGCTCAAGTGAGAGTGGGAGGGTGAGGAGTTGGAGCTGCACCCCTTGTCCCAGCCATCGTATCCCATCCCCATACACCGGTACCCCGCAGAGGCTTTGATGTGTACGTAAACATGGTGCTGGAAGATGTCATCGAGTACGAGATTACTCCCGAGGGCAAGCAGGTAGGCCAGGTTGGCCAGTGGAGTGGGATGCATCTGCTCTCTTCACAGGAGTGACCATACAAGGGTGACTGTACCCCCCGTCCTTTCTGCCCATTCCCTCAGGAGACTCGACTGAGTCAGATACTCCTCAACGGCAACAACATTGCCCTCCTGGTGCCGGGTGGCAAGCCAGAGGGGGTGGTGTGAAGGCATGCACAGCGGTCTTCTGCTTCTTGAAAGACTCTGTGCTCGTGCAACAATGTTCAGCTTCCTTTGCCGTCTGCATCAATCCTCTACCCTTCAGTCTGCTCTCCCTTCCTCCTGCTCAGTTTGTAAATGTCAGAATGCACAGTCTCGCCCTCAGCAGAGTAGTGAATCGAAGGGGATCAGCCCAGGACCTGTGCGTCCCGCATGATGCAGCCAGGCGTTCACATGGCAGCCAATTTTTTGTCACGCAACGTCAGCCTGGCTCGGCGCAACATTGGGTTCCCGCACACGGATGGACATCCGTTTCTCTGAAGCCGCGTGGGTGTGCACTCCGCTCCGAGACCCCGTGCAGTCTTCACCTCCTGAAGGCCGCGCCGCCGGCCGCCGATCCTCGCTGGTTGAAGTGCTTCCGGCGGTTCACGGCCTCAGCCAACGACCCATTCCCGGACGCGCCCAAACCCCCCTCGGCGCCGTAAACTCCCTTCTGCGCAGACTCGAGGAAGCTCGCTGTCGTCCCCGCAGCCCTCAGGCCCGCCTCCCTCTCTGCGGGTTCTCGGGGGTGGTTGGGAATTGCTGAGAGGAAAGTGATGGGCTGGTGCGTGACATGAGGATGCACCCTGAAGTCAGCAACCCACTCTATGCTGATCTCAGTCCCGAGCACCCTCGAGAGGGTCGCAGCTGATCGATCAGAGTCCCGCCTCGCGCCCATTTCCTGCCCGCTCGTAACCTCACCTTCCGCTGCCTCCCGCACGGTCTGGGATCGCACGCGCACCACCCGCTCGTCCTCATGGGCCTCCGCCGCGTGCGCCATGGCCGACAGCCGCGCCGCCTGCTCCTCGGCACTCAGCCGGCCCGGCCGGTACGTCGCGCGCTGGCCACGCGTGGCGGCAGCCGCGCGCTCCTCCTCCTCCCGCCGCCTCGCCGCCTCCGCCAGGTGGCGCTGCGTCGCCTCGGCCCGGGCACTGCGCGGGGGAGCCCAGGCGTGGGAGCGGTGTGCATGGGGTAGCCCTGCCCCGGTGGCAGCCTGGTAGGCCGGCCAGCGTCAGGCGCACACACCGGCATGCCCCATCTGGCCCGCCTCCTCACATCCATCTGGCAGCCATGGGGCAACAGCTGTTCCCGGCTTCCTGCATGCATCGACAATGCAAGCGCCCCCAGCCCCAACCCCAACCCCACCCTCCCGCGCACCTGCGCTCCTCATCCTCAACCTCCTGCCGCAGGTAATTGAGGCCGTAGCGTGTGCCCTGAGCCTGCGCCGACGCCGCGTCCCTGTGGGCCTGCGAACCCCCCCCGCCATGCCCCCCAATCTGGGTGCTGGCGGGTCGGCGCCCAGCGGGGCTGGGAGACCTCTGCTGGCGTGCACGGCTGGGACTGCGTGACCTCCGCCGCCGCTCGCGGCTGGGACTCCGTGACCTCTGTCGCCGCTCACGACCGGGACTGCGAGACCTGCGCCGCCGCTCGCGACTGGGACTGCGCGAACTGCGCCGCCGCTCGCGACTGGGACTGCGTGACCTGCGCTGTCCAGCTTGCTGCAGGTTTCTGTGCGCTGAGTCTGGCCCGGGGCTGCGAGACCGAGGTCTCCTCCCCCGGACGGGACTCCTGCTCCTCGAATAGCGCCGCCTCTCTCCTGCACCCTCGCGCCGGGGACGATCAGGGACTCCCTCGCCGCGCCACGGCTGAGGCCGCCCGGGAGGTTGGGCCGGGTGGCTGGCGTGCTCGACCTCCCGCCGCTCCTCGGCCTCGTCCTCCGACTCCCGATCCCTCTTGTGCTTCTTCTTCTTCTTCTCCTTCTTCTCCTTCTTCTTGTCCTTGCCGTGCTCGGGCTTCAGCTGCCTGACCTGAGTGGTGGAGCGCGAATATGGGAGCACAGCTTGTCATGCTTGGTGCATGGAGTTCTCGGCCGAAAGAGTGTTCATGCACATCCAGGCACAACCCCGCTTGGACCCCTGTCTCCACCTGCGCTTTGATGGCCTGCATCTGGACCGGGTTGGCCAGGATCGAGCGTCGGGCGCTCTGCTCCTGGTGCTTGATGGCGAAGAGCGGGTCGGCGTGCAAGCGCTGCCACATCTCGTTGGCCGAGGCGGGGGTGTCGTTGGAGTAGAAGGCGGGGAGGGAGACGGGCGCGGCGTCCTGCGCAGGCTCCCCCTGCATCGCAAGGGAGGGGCGGCCATGTGAATCGACACGAGGCAAGGGTGCCTGGGGCTGCAGTGCCTTGTGCAGGAAACCTCTTATTGGGCAGCCCCGTCGCACTGGGTCCCCTGTTCCACATGCAACCAGAGCAGCCTAAAGGATCTCCAATCGCGCCACGGACAGGCACCCCCCCACCCCCTGGGCTGTGCCCACGGTCCCAGATTCCTTCCGCACTCTGGAGCAGATTTGAGAATGCCCGTCGCCACTCTCCCAACAACCTCACCTGACTCGACGCTTGCGCCCCAGGGTCGTCACTCGAGCCAACTCCCTGAGTCGCGACCCGCGAGTCAGCTTCTTTCTTGGCCATGACGCCGCCCTGGTACATCCAGTCCAGCCGATCGTTTCGCCTGCACGCCGGGAGGGAGGAGGCATGGTAAGCTTTCTTTCAGTGGGGGGGATGAATGCGCCATAGCTGAGTTCTCACATCGACAAAGTTCCTCCCCACCTCCCCTCCAGAGGTCTCCCTCCTGAGACTCACACTTTCACCCCAGCTGCCTGTGCCATGGAGTGCAGCTCCTCCCGGGCCCTCTCCTCCGCGATCTGTTTCTGCAGGTCCCTCACTTTCTGCTCCTCCTTGGAAGCCACCTGCTCCCGTTTCCAGACCTCCTCCATGTTCTGCACCCGGCCCGGGTGCCAGGTCTTCTTGTTCAGGAACGCCATCGGCCCGCCCTTCCCCATGATGAAAGATGTTCCGAGATACTCAGGCAAGGCCAAGCGTGCGCTGTGTCCTCGATATGACGAGCGAAACTCTCACAGCGATAGCTCCGGGATGTGTCGATTTTCCGAGCCTCAGAGCCAGAGATACAGCAAGAAACGCATTGGCGCAGGTTTAACACCAATCAATGCAAATACAAGACCTTTTCTTTCTTGCAGGGACGTGGTGCCTTCATGGTGACAATCGTTTGTGACATTGAATACTCGCGCCCTGACCAACGACCGCTGGTAGTCATCCCCATTTTCTCCTCGACAGAACACAGCTCTGCTGTAGATACACGAAGGTAATTGATGGTATATAAGAAGCAAAAGAAGCGACGTTTCTCCTCGTACTGTGACCTATAACACCCACAGACCTGCAGCCCTTCTGTAAGTGTATGTCTCATCTACAGACCTGCAGTCTTCTCTGCGTATGTGTCTCATTCCATTATTAGCCTCCTCAAACAGGTTGTCGGTGAACCCACTTTGGTAAACAACGTCACGCAACTCAGCAATCACGGAGTACGGTGCATTTGGAAAGCCCAGTTGCATCCGGTTGTCACCCTTTCTCGAGTGGAAGCTGCTCCTCGCTAAGGAAAGGCGGGGGAGTCTAGTTGTTACTTCCCAGGCCCCTGACTCGCGCGTCGAATACATCCCGACTCCACAATACTCGTGTTGCAATTCCACTAGCATACCCTCGCCGCTGAACACGAAACGGGGAGACCATGTGGGATTCCCGCTTCAAGCTTTCGAGCGGCCTCGTGCTCCTATTGGCACTGACATCGTCCTGCGCCTCCGCGGATGTGCACGTCGAACAAGCAGATGTGAGTTGGGCGGTTCCTGTTTGTGTTTGGTGCAAGCCGCTCTGTGTCCAAGGTCGACCAATTGACACACGTACAACCCTTGGACACGCAGCAGGCTGACTCCGTCCAGGACCTGTCCGCCCCCGGAAGGGTGATAGTTGTTGTACGATCCAGCTTCCTGAGCCGTGTGGATGACCCACAGCGCCCCTCCCTGGCCCAGCTGCTGGGCTGGAGGTCGGCACACCTCCGGCAGAAGCTGTTTTACGGAGACTCCGGTGAGACCGGTCCCGAGGGGCAGACTCACCACCACCACCGCGAGGCCTACGCCTTCCTCCCGGGCGTGGTGACCCCCCTCGAGGTGGCTGATGCCAGCGCTCTCAAGGTCGCCGACGCCAGCTCCTCGGTGTCCACCTCGGCGGTGGGCGCAGGGTCGGCCGTCGCCATGCCGGCGCGCCCCTTCCTCCTCGGCCGCGCCGCTGCGGGCGCCCATGGCATGCTGGACCGCACGGAGGAGGGGGCGGAATTGTTCAAGGTCGAGCCGGTTCCCGCCGGCGGAAGCATCCGCAGGGATGGCGGGGACGACGATGACATCGACGGCCACAAGGACGAGGAGGAAGATGAGCACGCCAGGAAGCGCAAGCACGCCTGGAAGCACGCCCAGCGCGCGGCCGTGGAGGGCAAGGCGTCGGGTGCCAGCTCCGCTTCCGGCCGCATGGAGGGCGCCGAGCCCCTGCGCCACAAGTGCCGCCACCAGCGCGGGGCGAGGGTGGGCGCGGACCAGGGCGCAGACGGCGAATCGCTCGCCGGCGAGCACCCCCACGACCGCCACCGCCACCACGGCGAGCGCCGGGACGGCGAGCCTCACCGTCATGGCCATGGCCACGAGAGCGGCAGGCGCCCCTGCCTGGTCGGGTGTGCGATGCACCTCTTCAGGTCGGTGGTCTTTGGGGCCCCCAACCACCCCATGCCCCACCGCCAGGGGGAGGAGGGAGGGCCCATGTGGGCCGGAGCGGTGATGCCGCACATGGTGCACAAGAAGGTGGGCTGAGCCCTTGTTGAAGGGGGAAGGAGTGAGGGATCGCAAGGATGCCCAGACGCGTGCCGCAGTCTGCAGGCAGGGTGCCATTACCAGCGCCTGAGGCTGCGAGGACGACGCTCATTGACCCCCCCCCTCCCCTTTCCTTACTGGCGTCGCAGGGAGATGGAATGCCAGACATGCACCCCCCCCGCCCCCGCTGCCCGCCCCCGCACATTCTGGCGCTCGGCATGGCCGCCGTCGCCGGGGTCTTTGCCTGCGCTCTCGTCATAGTGATTAGGAGGTGAGTGGCCAGGGTCCAAGGGACAAGAGGGGAGAATCAAAGCGTCTTGGTGGGATGTCCGCTAGCGTTCTCCACCCCGCCCCAGCCCCATATGCACCCCACAATCCGGCCCACAGGGTGCGTGATGCGTGTGCCCTCGCACCGCAGCCCCAGTTCATGGTGCTGGGGGCAGCTGGAAAGGGAGTCGTGTACGCTGCGGCACATGCCGCACACGGCTACGAGGCTCTGCCCAGCAAGGGCGACAGCGTGTGAGCCCAATGCTCTTGAGCCTCCATCCTTGCCCGCCTAGTTTTGTACCCGTATGTGGTGACGCCTGTAAAGCTTGTGTACTCTGCAAGCCCGGCCACCTGTGTCCTCCCTTGTCGCATGCCCGGCTGTGCCCATCCCCTCCTCTGGCCCCTGGTGTGCTGCATGTAATATGTCAATGAGGCACGTGGGGAACAACCTAGGCACAGTGAGCTTGTGTCCGCGTGCGATGTGTGTACTTCACACCCCCAAGGCCCCTCGCCCCGGATGTACTCGGAGCAAGACACCCCAGCGCGCGCGACCCGGGCCATGGTCCAACTGATTGCTGAAATTCGTTCCTCCTGACGACCTTCAAGTAAAATTAGACCTACCAATCATTATTGAACTTGTTAAGCCGCATGGAACGGGATAATGACCTTGCGGAGCACCGCCGAGCCTGGCACCTCCCACTCGAGACTGTCGGAGAGAAAGTGATCTGAACCGCCCGCGAGGTACAGGCGTCACTCAGGCGCCGGGCAAGCAGACCATGGATCTGTCTCCATTCAGCTGGTTGAGCAAGGGCCTCTGGTTCGGTGGTCCCAGCCAGGAGGCTCGACCGTACTACCTGACTGACCGCCTGCTGGCCTGCGTGTATGGTGCGTGGGGAGGCAGTCTCTGACATCATGTGAGGGTGGGTTCGACGGTGCATGGAGGTCACGGTCTTTGTGAGGTCACCATGCTGGAAGATTGCCAGTCCTCACACCATGTGACTTCATCGCAGAGGAGGACAGGGAGTCCTGGAACCGCTCCTCCCGCCTGTCCTACCTGTCAGATGGGTAGGTGCTGCGGATCCTGAAACTTAAAAGTGTGGGTCCAGCGGTGCCTTTGCTTGTTTGGGACTCCTCCTCCCTGTAGCAAGCATGCCTGATGGAGCTGAAAGGTCTGTTGTGGGCGTGCCGTGAAGAGCCTTGTGGCAAGCTCAGGAACAGCTCAACAAACCCATCTCCACTGCCTGCTTGCTGGTTTGAACAACCAACCACCTCCAGCCTCCCTTTCCTGATTCCCCCTCAGTTACAAGCAGTACCTGCGGGAGCTGTCTGTGCAGCTCAAGGGCATCCGGGAGAGGGGCGGGGAGGCCGGCCCCGGGGTCAAGGACCCCGCCGGCATCCAGTTTGTGAACCTCAGCCCCGCTTGGAGGGACCCCGACGTCTACTCCTACTTCAACAACTCTGGTGAGTGCAGCACAGATGCTGGGGGGTGCGGATGGTGTCTTGAATTCAGTGCAAGGTTGACATAGGCCTGGCAATGCAGAGGAGGGCTGCCTTTCCCCTGACTGAATCAGGGAGGCATTAAATTCCATTACTCTCTTCGCTACCACAGCCCCCCCTTCACCCTCCCCCAACTCATCGCAGTCATGGAGTTCCCGCTCAACATCTGGGAGCGGCCCCCTGGGCTGGGTCTGTGCCCCCTGCACATCCTGGTGACCATCTGCAGCCAGATGCACCAGTGGCTCAGCCTCTCGCCCGACAACCTCGTCGTGCTCCACGCTCGGACCTGCACCGGTACGGAGCGGCACCTGGCCACCTTCCTGGCCGCCTGCCACCTCATCTTCTCCGCCGGGCTGGACAACGTCCGCCTGGCACTCGACTCCCTGCCCCCGCTGGGGGGGCGGCCCAGGTCCGAGGCTTCAGGGTTGTGGGGGAGCATGGGGAGGGGGAGTGCGGAGACGGTTGGTAGGATGATGTTGCTCATCTTCAACTTGCAGGGCGTGTGTGGCTGCTCAGCCTCTGTCGACTCTGTGATGGGAGGCGAAGCGCTGCAAACATCAGGCGCCGCTCGACTCCTCCAGCCCGTTCAGCAGGGTCGGACCCGACTCGCTCCACCTCACGCCACAAACTCGCCACCCCGCCCTCCAATCTCACCACATGCCCTCACGAGCCTGCCTCATTCATGGCACTCACCATCCAGGGCCTCAAAGAGCCTGTTCGACGGCAATCAAGAGAACGGCTTCAGGACAGCTGCCGCCCTGAACGCCCTGCTCCCCTCCCAGCAGCGCTTTGGCGGCTACCTGGCGGCCCTCCTGCATGCCCCCCACACCCTCCCCCCCAACTCCGCCCGGCCCCTCCTGCTGAAGGGCATCCTGGCCTCGCGCCTGGGCTGCCTGGACCCCGCGGGCGTGGCCGGGGCGTCGCCGCGCAAGGCCC